ACCGTGAGCATGCACGGCGCGCTGAATCGCAAGGCACAAAACCGCGCAGGAAAATGGTGATTTCTACCCCAAAAAATTGTTCAAAATTGCAAAACGTGTGTCCTTAGAATTGAGAAAGTCTGCTTTTGATTGTAAAGCCTAAATGTAATTTTCGAGCAATAAAAAACATTTTGACTCTCATTTGATCAAAACAAAACAGGGGCCCTACACTACATGATCGCCCTAAAATTTTCTTGACTTTCTATAGGCCTAGTCACTTATAGCCCCACTAGTTTGGCCGCGGTATGCTGCGCTGAATCTCTGGCCACACACTGTGGTACCGCGCACTACTGAGGACGTTTTCATAAAAATTACAGGCAGTTTCTTACATATGGTTGTATTCTATGATGTCCCATCTATCACTTCTGGGATGCTTAGGTGTAATGATGTTCAATTTTCCGAGATATTCTGGAATCTTTCTGGAGCCCATATGCACTCGTGAAACGTCTGGTGATGGCAGCCATTTTGAATGTGACAAGAGATGACCTCAAGCTGTGACGTCGCGTTTATGCAAATTGCTTGTTGAGCGCGAGGGCGCGAGTTGCAAATGCGACGGCTGTTGCCTGTACCATGCATTTATCGTCTGGGGCCACGTCCACTGATCTCTATTCAGGATCCACGGCACAGGAAACAGCTGTCGCATTTGCAACTCGCGCCCTCGCTCGACAAGCAATTTGCATAAACGCGACGTCACAGCTTGAGGTCATCTCTTGTCACATTCAAAATGGCTGCCATCACCAGACGTTTCACGAGTGCATATGGGCTCCAGAAAGATTCCAGAATAACTCGGAAAATTGAACATCATTACACCTAAGCATCCCAGAAGTGATAGATGGGACATCATAGAATACAACCATAGGTAATCCTTACTTTTAGGACCCCGTTCCTATATAAGTTTAAAAGACTCACCAAAAGAGCTGACTAAATGACACTCAAAAGTGACATTCTGATATTTATTGTCATATATCTGAACAGTATGACATCTTCATGAATGTCAGCAGGTTTAATTTTGTGGAAAAAGGCTGGCGGGGCTTTGATTTTAGAGGGAAATTAAGGGAGAAAGACAACGATGACGAACAGAAACTGACTCAAAAACCAAGATGGCAAACTGCAAAAAAGGGTAGGAAAGTCACATTTTCTTTGAAAGTGCTTTCAAAATTACAACTAACATGAATTTATCTGAAGAAAAAAGACTGCTTTAGCCTGCAAAAGTCACTTTGGTACTGGACTAGCTCTACTGAGTGGAGCGTTGAACTACGGGTACCCCTCCATACCAACGCTCCACCGATTCGCCATACTTTGGTAGCACCATCACAGTAGCATAGTCAAAAACCCACGTGAGGACAAAAAGACCCCCAAAAAACGGTAAAGAGATTACAAATGAGAGAGACAATTATCCTGGATTGATCTATACATTCTGGACATTCCATGAGACCCCTTATATTGTTCCCAAACAGCGAACATTTTGGAAAAAAACAGCAAAATAGTCTGAAAACTTACAGTTCAATGTGTTTGCATATGCATGGAGGCTCAGTTCTTGAATTAGCTTGTCAATGAGGGCGTCTAACGTGACGTCACCGTCGTTGCTCGATCGCGAAGAAAAACAAGTCGCGCTTTATCAACGACTGTTTCGTGTAATAATACGTGCTCTGATCCGCGCCGCGCCGTACGACAGTATGGGCTTTGAACACACCCAAGGAGCACGTATTATTACACAAAACAGTCGTAGATAAAGCGCGACTTGTTTTTCTTTTTCTGAAATGGACATCTTTTGGTATTGGCCGGCCGCGCCCTCTCTGTTGGTTTATTGTACAACGCTATCACCCTTTAGCATAATGGTATAGTCCGCACTGCCACTGAGGCAACATGGCAGCCGATTTCGGAGCAGCACGGAGAGCCAATTTTCTTGAACTGAAAATCGCAATTTTCAGACGTTTAACCTATTAATTTTAAGCCAAAATCTTGTTTCTGACCATACTATATGGGTTACATACTGCTTTTGTCACTTTTAATGCATTTTGGATGTGTTGACGCTGTGTTGACGCTGTGTTGACGCTTTGGAGTGTGTTGACGCTGTGTTGACGCTTTTTAGTATGACCGGCCACACTAGTGGGGCTAAGTCAGTAGTACACACCCGCTGATGTTGCGCCAGGTTACAACCATTGATCTCCATATACACAGACTGGATAGGACATCGCGTACGAACGTGCGTCCGCGCGCGCGTTTTTTGAAAAGGGTAAAGAACACAATTTCGCATTCGAGTTGTGTACACTTTCGAACGGAGGATTAAAAATTGAAGTTGGGTTTTCTTCGGTTTCTTCGTCATTTTTGAAAGAATAAAAGAAACAGAGATCTAAATTGATCAAAATCGACGAGGAGTATAGTCAAGGTGTGCGCAGCATTAGATTGCTGGAGTCGGGAAGTAAGGAGCGTTGAAGAATAGGACAATTATTCGCAAGTAAGTTGTTTTTTAACTAGGCCTATACAACATGGAGGAATATGAACATGGGAATGACAAAGCAAATTATGTCGCTCTGAGTTTGAGGGGACGGGCCTGTGTGGTAGCTAGCGAGATATTCTGTTCAAATTCCATGCGATCTAGGCCTGTCATGCTCAGTGGTCGGCATCATTTTTCTTTAAATGATATAGGCCTAAACGTGCATGTAAAATGATTGACCCGGCAATGGCAATGAACAAAAGTTGACTTGTTTAAGATAGTTTATTCGAATAACATTTATATGCAAAATCTGATTGAATTATGTCTGACTTGGCTTAACGCCTACCGAAGTGTTTCTATTCCTTTCTTTATAAAGAGAAACCGAGGAGATGGTTTATGCTAACTTACTGCACAACTGGCCGATTGACCTTCATATCAAACAAAGAACTTCAGCAAAGCCATATAGCAAAAACCACCAGCTGCACTGGACCGAGCTGGACGAAAATGGAGAACTTCACGGAGGGATGGAATCGACTGTATCATCCACTGAATGGAACATGCGATGTGATAGGCATCTGAGCGTTTGACTTAATCAATTTTTACGATGTGGAACTGTTAACATTGATTGATTTTGGCTCCCAAGATGACTGTCACATTATTGACAGTTTGTATGGTGAAGAAAGCAATGAGTACTTTTACGGTTTGAAATTATGTTGTGTACGCCGTTATGATTACTAGCTATAGCCATAAACACTGTCACCGTCATATTCGCTCACAAAAACGATTCCCATTACACTTACAAGTAATTATATTTATTTTCAGAAGTATTGCTAAACATTTACTTGCAAGACCGTGCGTAGCTTCAATTATTCTTTGACAAAATTAGTATAGTACTATTTTGATTTGTGATTCATCTCCTTTCACACAATATCACAAAGAGGTAAACGATGTCATTCTCTGATCAATCTAGGGACGGGAAGAAGTTTTTACTGATTACTTTGTAAAATTAAGGTTTTTTTACCTTTTAGATTGTAATTGGTTTATGTTCAGGTTTTTAAATAAATATATCAATCATTTGAATGAATCTCCATACAATTTCTCGTGTGAGTGTTCAGTTAAAAAATATGATGTCATTTCAGCATATTATTAATACAATTATTCATTTCGTTGATGGAGTAATTCAGTGTGCTCTAATGACCAATGTGCCAAAAAAGAAATGGCAATTTACTTACAATCATTTTTAGGAGGCGAAGGGATTTTTAAAAAAAATAAGGGAAAAGGAAATGGGGGGTTCTTGAATTTCGAAAATGCATAATAAGAAAGTGTATGTCAAGAAAGTGTGGAAAAGCTGTTTGGAGGGTAACTCTTCATCGTTCAGGGTTTTTTTAAAGATTGTTTTGGAGGAGCGCTTGAACTCCCTCCTGTAAGAAAAATTTCATTAAACAATCCATTTTCCAAAGTAAACAAAGTGAAAGCACAATGCGCGTTTATCCGTCTGACAGTCAACGCGCCGCCATTGTTCGGCCGCGCATTCGTGCACAAACACGGCGCGATGTCCTATCCAGTCTGTGTATATGGAGATCAATGGTTACAACACAGTGTCATGCATGCATGACTCTCTTGAAGCATTCTTTCCACTAAACAGAAAACAAGTGCTCCTCGATTTGTCACAACTTGAATACAAAATTTGTTTGAAAATGTCTTTTCTAAATCTTACCTGTCGTTTGACTTCATCGTAAAAAACGTTTGTTGCTTTGCTAATGGGCTCAAATCGCACAGGATTTGTGGAAAGCTCCACGTAAAAGTTGTGTTCCTCCACCATTTTGCCATCACATGATATGGACAGTGTTACAGAGTCTGGGAATAAGACGGTAAACAGGCATGCTTCTTCACGCCGTTGTCCAACAATATGGAGCCAGACTATTGCATATGCTGGTGGAAGCCAAGAGTGGGTGTGGCCTTGGAATATCATGCGGGGGGGGGGGTTGTTGAGGCGTGGGTTCGTCACAAAGTTGTAAAAATTAAAGGGAACCGGCAATGGGCGTAACTTGTATCCAATTTGTAGGGGACACTTTGTGGCCTCGTGTTTTGGAGGGGAAACTTGTGCTTCAACCAATAGAAAAATATTGATGATCGGCCCGGGGACGGAGCCGCGGGGGGGGGGGGGGGGGGCATGCATTGCTGGGACCCTGTCATGAATTTCACTTGGTTTTTGAGAATTATGATGTAAAAAAAGCTCTGTTGGAAAAAATTGCAAATTTGGTGTCATTTGAGGATAAAGGCAGAGAGTTGTGAAAACTTCAACTGACTGTCAAAAAAAATGAAATGAAGTTATTCGTTTTCAAAAGATGCATAGGCTAGGCCCTACGTACTACACGTCACAGTTTCTCTGAATTGGAAGATTGGGCTTAGTTAGATTAATTAAGGACAATTCTGGCAAATGTACAAACATTTATAAAGATAATGCATGCCAAACATATTTTTTTTAAACGTTCAGTTCATAATGACTGGAGCACAAGTAATATTAGAAGACAAAATGGTCCATTATTTTATTCAAAAATAGGGGCCTACATGCATAGGCCTATACAATTCTAAACCTTTCGTCTATGAATGAATACGTTATGAATGAATGTTACAGTTTTGAACAGAGAACTGAGTATGGACGTTTTATCAACGTGGTCTTTCTAGGATTTTCATCATAACAGCCTCTCCAGGAAAAGGAACGTAAAGTAAAATATATCATGTTTGTGACCCGTTATAATCGTTACTAAAATAAAGCAAAAGGCCGCAAAACAAAAAGCCACACTACTACCGCTTAATAAGATGACGTATTGTAATTATAGTTTTTTTTGTGCGTGACTCAGGCTAATGCTAACTGAGTGTTCAGACGTCCTTCTGACGATTCCCCCCCCCCAAAAAAAATGGGAATCACAAACATTATACATTACGTTAAGGCCCAGTGGTCACCAGTTGAGTCCATTAGAATTCAATATAGTTTGATTAGGTCGCATTTTCATTTTATAAAAATCAGAGTATGAAATTATGATTTAGTTGATAACGACTGGAGAGCATCACAATTAACACGGCAAACCACACTCAAACATCTTAGTATACACACATGTCGTAAAGGTCTTGACAGAAGTCTGTGCATAGGCAAAGTGCAGCGGCTTACATTACAAGAGAAGAGGTTCAGAGAATAATATGCGATGGAAAATTAACACTGCTGGTTCATTGAGCATGATTTTACCCTCATCAGTCGATGTTGTTCCCGACGACTGCAAGGAACGGTAATTACCACTCGGTCAGTCGCAAGTTTGGTTCACAAACTTCTCCCAGATACCCTCCACCATGCCAAAATATACAGATTTGTACAAGGTGAGTAAAAAAGAAGTAATCATCTTTTTTTCTTAAAAGAAATGAAGCTTGAAACACCACTTAAGTATATCTTAATAGAGCATGTTCTTCCATGATAGTCTTGAGTATCACCCGTTATCCGCGAAGTCCAGTCTCCGAGTCTGTGTATAACCATATGCTGCATAGACTAGTTCGTCCTCTAGTTGTTTTTTTTTGGGGGGGGGGGTGCCGAATTCTATTTTTCAAATCTAAAAAAAATGTCAGCCACAGAAGTACTTATTTTTCAAAAAAAATATATATCTGACAGCTCCATCTATATTGTTACCGAAGTGTGTATTTTTATACTTTCCCATATTCACATTATCTTAGAAGCCCATGTATTCTGAAATACTTTGCTTCACGCATTTTTTAACCATTTTGAGGGGAGTCCGAGGTCAGGGGCATAAATCTCCTCAATCCGAAGCCGGAGTGGCCGCGAAGGTTAAGGAAAGGCAGTGGGTCGTTACACAGTCTCACAGATGGGCCTGCCGTCACACACATTCTCGTAGTAAGGTACGAACAGTTGAGCGATGGTGACGATCGGAAACATGACGAAAGCGCCGATCATAGATCCGATCTGAGACACCCCGCCGTACCAAATCAGCAACGTGCGGTTGTCGGCTTGACATCGAAGTATCCAGGCTATGGTAGCTTTGGTATACACAAAGAAACCACTGACGAAGATCCACGCCAAAATCTAAGGAGAGAAAAGAAGATTTGTATAGTTTTGCCCTCCATCTACTAATTTTTATACTGTGCTCAACCCAATGGCCTGCTTTACTACGAGTGCAGACGACGTGACCACCGATCGAGCTGATAGGAATAAACCAGTCTTGGTTCAAGACTTTTTTCATGAGGGTTGACCGTGCCCCTAATTCATGGCATGGACAGCCGGCCATCGCGATTGGAGGCGATACGAGTACAAGGGCGGATCCAGAACATAATTTTGGGGGGGGCCAAAAAAATTTTTGGTCCTCCAAAAAAGTGGGTCAAAAAAATTACGGCGTGGGGTTCGGGGCCCGCTTAAGGGCCCCGAAAAATTTTTGGATTCTAGATGCTCTGTGGTGCGATCTGAGGCAATTTCTGACCACTTTAACCAATGTTTTTTTGAGGAAAAGATGGTGGTGTACTCATTGCCTGCCTTTATTGCGATGTCACATAAAAAAAAAAAAAATTGGTTTCGTTTTGGGGGGGGGCCATGGCCCCCTTTGGCCCCCCCCTGGATCCGCCCTTGTACGAGTATACGAGTGCCATCATTGGCCACCCGCAGACTCACCACAGGCGCGCGCATTTTTGTTTGAGTACAGCGCGCACGAGGATTACTGAATGCTTCATCTTGTTGATATAGCGCCCTCTTTGGGTTGGATTATTGGACTAACAGACAATATCCAATTTCAGTTTTGGAACAAGACTGAGATTCAGTAAACATGTGGTAACATTTAGATAACCATCGAAAAATGTTATTATTTTCATCATCAGCAGTCAATAATCAAGGCATTATTGGGCACGGTTATGTTTATTCCAAGACGGTAATAAAACTAGATGACGTGAAAACGATGTCAAGTAGAAAACACAATAAATACATCACCACAATAATACTTACTATAATAGCATCACCTGCAACATCATACTGCAATGGAGGAGTCGGACTCAGCCCTGCCGTTAACAAGCAGAATGTTGCCGCAAGGGTACCGGCTATGGTTGTCACACCAATCAATGGTAGACTACGGAAAGGGAAGAGCATGACCAGGAAAGCAGCCAGGGGATTAGCGATGTTAGCCATGGCGGATGCGATCAGGTAGGTGTTGAGCCCGTAAGGGGCGCAGGAGTAGGTCTGAATTGACGGCAGTGCCCCGTTGCTCATTGCTGTCACGAAGGTTAAGATGCCAAAGAGATAAGCAAACTGCCAACGGGTCAAAGGCGGCTGTGAGGGCGTCTGTGCGCCGTCTTTGCCCTCGATGGTGTGATGGCCCTTGTCAGGCTCGGCGTCATCGACATCCTTCTGCGATGTTGTGTCGTCAACGGACGTGACGCTGAAGACCAACATGGTGCGGCTCTCGGCTCCTTTCACCGGGGCATCTTCGACCTTGGAGTCCTCCGTCTCAGGCTGGTACTTCTTGACGTGTTCGCGTTTGGCCAACGGCAGGTAGTTCAGCATAGTGAAGGAAATCAGGCAGGTGACCATCATGGCAAAGAGGAACCCGAAGAAGTTCTGAGGTGGAAAGCGTTCCGGAGTGTCCCGCTGTAGCCAGTTGGTACATGTCTGCTCGACGACAGCGCCATTGATGATCGTCTCGTTGATGTAAGTGCCGTTAGCTACACACTCCTTAGTCCCTACCCCCTGAATCAACGCCACGACGCTAGGAAGCAGTGAGCTGAGACCTTCCCCAACGAAGTACCATGTCAGATAAGAGTTCTTGAGGACAGACATAAAGGGCGTGAAGGCCACTGAGGAGGTGCAATCTACGATGGATAGGAAGAAGGCTAAACACAACAGTGCTGTGCTATGTAGGGTGTTATCGATGACCCATACTGTGTAGTAATCCCAGAAGAACACCAGAAGCAGAGTGGAGATGCAGCCGATGGACACAATGACAAAATTGGCGGGGATCTCAACATGTAGACCCTTAGGTGAGAAATAGTTGGCCAGGGTGAAGATCAAGGGACCGATGTTAGCCAGCTGGATGATGACGGTAAGGTAGGCAGCCAGGTTGTAACCCTCAGGAACGTTACGAGACACAAGGAGTGGGAGTTGAACCCATAACCCGTTGATTGCTACCCACGATCCTGTACCAAACAACATGACCAGAATGATGACAGGGATGCGGACTCGAAGAGGGCTCTTTTCTTGCTCCGCCATTTTGTTTCTCTCGCAAGGTGTGCGTTATTCCAGTCTGAAATAAAAATAACAAAACAGATGAAACCTCCAAAACATGACAACGCAATCTGTATGCAGTTCAAAGATCAGACTTGGTTGGATGCTGGTTTTGAACTTGATGGGGTCATTACTGTTACTAAGTCGTCAAACAATCAGGCATATAGTTATCTAAAAGCAAATATTTACCACTGGCAACAGGTATTTATGATATGCCATTCATCGACGCACTTTGAATGATACCAAATATAGTTTGCAATGACCTGTCGACGCGTAAAGAGAGCAAAAAAAAGATCAAAAACCTACTAATACTAACGAGGTAATGCAGCAATAATGGCGTGTCATAGGCTGCGTCGTTCTGACCATACCACCCTTGTGGGGTGATGTTCTTTTCAGGACACATCACCCCACTATTTTCACAATAGAAAAACATCACCCCAGAAGAGAATCTTTAGAAAAAGGGATAATGGGAACACAATGCTATCACCCCACAATTCCGTCTGGCTGAATGCCAGTCAAGTGCGAGTCCCGTGAAAGGTTCAAATTTGGGGCAACGCCGGCCACCAAGCAAATCCCAGTACATGTATTCTGTCGACAAAAAATGCGTCTAATAATGATTCATCATTCACTGTTATCTTCGATCAAAACGAGATACGTACGGGTTGTTTGTGGTGCGTGTATAACTCTCGATGGTGCTGTAGCTAGGTGCACGATGCGACGGAGCTGGAAATTTGGAAATGATGCAACAGATGCCGACAGCTACAATAATTCCCTGTCCATGGCACAGAGCTATATTAAATTGTAATTTGATAAAGCTCATGGTTCAGGGTGCACTTTATAAATTCGCTCAATGACCGACGGCTATTGTGTGATAAGATTAAGAGTGATGCAGGCATGAATTGACGATATCGTCTGCGCGAACCAGTTTTCTTTTACTCATTCACGTTTTAGGGCACAGTTGAATAGTGGCGAGGCTTGACCGGAGATTGAACTTTAACTATTCATATTGGTTAGCCGTTCCTTTGTGGTGAATTTTTGATCGTACGAGTTAATTGAATCCATGTGCCAAATAATCATATTGTCGATCATCATTTGTAGTTATACTAGCAACGGCGATAGTACCAACAATGGCTAGGAAATTAAGGAAACAGGTCAACTCGTACGCGAACCAACTCGTACGTGAGTCAACTCGTACGCGGATAGGTCAACTCGTACGCGAGACAACTCGTACGCGAACCAACTCGTACGCGTTCCAACTCGTACGCGAGCCAACTCGTACGCGAACCAACTCGTACGCGAACCAACTCGTACGCGGGCCGTTTTAGGAGTGGTTTCGAGGATTGGGTTGGCATGGTTGGGAAGAATTTGGGAATAGTGTGACGGGTAGTCCGTAGTTCAATGTGTGACCGTTGTGTGTGATTGGGAGTGAACCCGTGAATGATGATAATAAAGTAACTGATTTTTGTAGTTAGACGAGTGTTGTATAGTTTTGTGCATACCTGTAGCCTTGTCACGTCAAATTTAATTCCATATATTAATGCAACGATGTACCAGTTGCATTGTTCGTGTTTTTTTAATCAATGTACCTGTCAGTCAATTAATTGTCACCATTGTCAAACTAAAAAAAAAAATTGCCCAAGAAAAAAAATTATTTTCAGGGCACCCTCGAATTTCCGGTGAAATTAAATAAAATTCTAATTTTTAAAAATCAATGAAATTCACCTCCCCATTGTTTTAATTCACAAAATATAATTTGGATACATAATAATTAGGACTAAAAAATTATCGGACCCAAGCAAAACATTAATTTTTTGACCCAAGAAAATCGCGTTTGACCCAAGAAACCTCGCATTTCCGGTGAAATTATATAAAATTCTGATTTTAACAAAAAGTAAAAAGCAACTCCCCATTTTTTCTTTTTTTTTACAAAATATTATTTGGATATATAATAATTAGGACTAAAAAACTATCTGACCCAAGCAAAAAACTGGCGGACACCTGTATAAGCATGCGTGATGCTATATTCCTTATTTTTTTTTATAGTAGCTCCTTTTTATACAATAGACCTCGCAAATATCGGTGTTTTCTTGTCATTTTACTTGTCTAACCAACCAGCAATTGTACCGCGGCATACACAGGTTACAGCAGTGCGCGGTGCGGCGGGAACCAATCATACTGGTTATCGCGAAGACAACTTCCCAATCAATCAAGCGAACTTGTAAAAAAAACAAAAAAACGCAGAATTCTTCTCTAAAAAATCGCGAATGTAAGTAGCACTGGCGGATTCAAAAATCAACTACATTTAATTTGAAAATCTCAACCTTTCAGAAAAGGTACAATTATGCCGACCTACCGTACCGAACCTAATTTCATCTGTCCATGTGAGCTAAACCAATCGTCTAAACTCACGCGTACGAGTTGGTCCGCGTACGAGTCGGTTCGCGTACGAGTCGGTCCGCGTACGAGTCGGTCCGCGTACGAGTCGGTCCGCGTACGAGTCGGTTCGCGTACGAATTGACCCGCGTACGAGTTGGTCGCGTACGAGTTGGTTCGCGTACGAGTTGACCTGTATTCAATGGCTAGAGCAACCAGATCATGGTGAAGACATTTCCTGTTGACCACCACAAGGTTTCTATAGCTCCGTCACTCCGATCGGATCTTTTTTTGTCCCTTTGTGAGAGGCATATATATGCTAGGAAAGCTTAGAAAATGGACATAAGCCTAAGACTTTAAAAATGATTATTTACACAAAAACTTACCAGATTGTAGCGTAGACTAGAGTTGTACCATAATAGATGAAGAAATAATATTTAGCCTATACCAACTGTTTAATAACCACCCGTGGTGTAACAATTATTGTGTAACTACCGACTTGCGCTTACGCAATTACGGAGCGCAGGATTATTAGCCTTGCACTCCAAGCTGATAAGCCTTCATCACAAAGAGTAGGGACCTCGGGATTATATACAGTCGCCTATAAAGGTACTGATGACGACAAAAACATAAATACATGTACTTCTAGACGCGACGGTAAGTTCAAATACACATGTACATAGAATTTCGCATTGTCAAGGGAATCATCACATTAATAAATTGTTTGTCCGGAAAAATGAAATTACTTAAACTTGCAGGAAAGTTTGCCTAAAGGACCATGAAACACACTTTGACTCCATTTTTGGACAAACATGAATTAAAAAGAAACTTAACATTGAAAATTTGGGAGAAAATCGTTCAATTTTTTTTCAAAATTATAGGCGATTTTTCCCCAAATCTGCAGGATTGTTAGTGTTTGTTGGAATACTGATTGATGTTTCTCTTGCATCCATTGCATTTTCTGCGTTGTTGGCTGAAATGCAATTTGTTTTGCCACAAATATGTAAGGTTACCCCCTTGCACTTTTTTTTCAATTTTGGCTTAAACACATTTCGACTCGATTTTTGACAAATTTCAAAAGAACAACTGTGTCAAAACTTTCAGGGAAATTTAGTCCAAAATGTTTTGTTCTTTTGGTAAAAAAAAATGGAATTTCAGCATTTGGAGAAAACATTTGCCCAAAATTAATTTGATGTACTCCACTGAATTACACACAAAATATCTGAATTTATTTCTTATTCTACGTTCATCAAATCCACAAATATTGCAATCCAAGTACATTTTATATACAATTAAGAGGAATTGTACACGAAAAAGTATTAAATTACAGGTTAAATATTTAGTAATTTGACTGGCTACCCCCAAGCCGTCTTATCAATGTTTGTTATTTACATATTTCCAGAATTATGTTCCCAAAAATGTGATCATAAACTATCACAACTTTACAGATTAAAATAAAAAAATTATTTACCGATTAAAAAAACATGGGTACCCGTTAAAGAAACTCTACCCCAAAATTCAAATCACGAAAGCTGTTCAGATTGTTCGTAAAGGTCCGCAAGATAATACAACCACATCAGCGCGTCAATACAGCAAGATACAAGTATGTACATGTAGTGAGCTTTATAGCCTTGGGGTAATAAAGTGTTAACTGTAACTTTTGCGAGCGTCATAAATGCGAAACTGTGTAGCATGGTTTTCATTTTGAACATTTCTCAAAAATGACATTCAAAACCCTTTTTTTTTACTTTCTGAGAAGCTACTATGTAATTTGTGATGTTGGTTACGAGCACCCGATTACATAATCTGGAACTGGTTCCTGACATGAACTGGTACCCGGTTCCATGCACAGCCCTACCCGACAGCAACTCTTTATTCTGCATCAGAACCATAGAATGGAGTCCAGTAGTAATGACGACGTATCCCATGGTTCAACTCGGCAAGCAGGACGTGGCCATCTACGATGTATGGCTTAACATCTGTATCCTTTATATCCAGACGACCGGATTCCATCAAACCGTTAAATGCCTGAATAACAAGAATAAAAAAAAAAACTACACATTAGGCCAAAAAAAAAAATATTCGGTCTCTGGTGAGACCAAAGTTCCGGAATTGACGCGGCCACGCGGCTTTTTGGGTTTTTTTGCTTTTTTTTTTTCTTTTCTTCAAGCTTGGATTGTACAGACAAGGTGGGTACTATTTTGCTTTTTTGGTGTCCTCATGTACATTGGTGTCCTCCATAATTTGCCTTGGTGCTTTCGATCATTTGCCTTGGTGCAAATTCCCATTCCTTGGTGCTCTTTGGTAAAAAAAATTGAGGAGGTGCGGAAACAGAGGGCTACCGCGGAACATTTTGGAAAAAAAAAAGATCGACGCGCATGATTAAAATTGACGCGCGCGCTGACCAGAGACCGACTTATTTTTTTTTTGGCCTTACTCATATTAATTATTAGGCATTCCTCTGGTGCAACATTTCAGGAGTCGACCTCCTGCATATTTGAAAAAACATTCAATGAAGCAATGGGTTACCTACCACACATGCAAGTTCCTGCAGATGATTTCCCCATATGAATACACTAGTCAGTGTCGTGTTGGTGTTCATGGCTCGTGCTATGGCACACAGTCCAGTTGCCTCGATGTTGTTGCTTGTTATGACCAGCCTGAGAATAACACAGTGAAAGTTTGTTCATATTCATGCAAAATTAATGTTAAAGGGAAAATACAACACTTGCAAACATCAAAAAATAAAACTACCAATTATTTTGA